TGTGTGTGTGTGTCAGTGAGATGCCCGACCAGGGCGGAGACAAAAGCGCTGGACCTTTGTCCAGGGTGATGCCCCGATCACCTGCAATCTTGTTAAGGATCAATATGGCCTTGTCTCAGTTTTAGATTTTGTTCATTGAAGATGGGATAACTGGGGTAACTCTCCTCGCGCAGAGTACCTTTGATGAAGCTGGTGTTGTTGAGGCTCATGGTTCCCACCAGACCTTCTTCTTGGCTGTGTCAACACGGTGGCAACGGAGCTCTCGCAAGATGCAATACGCCGCAAAGATTTCAAAGATACTCAAAACGGCCTCAAGTTCACAGCTTGTTGAATTCATGACCCGCAAAGAGCCGGAGATTCAAACAGAACGATCTTGTTACACACTCTCTGCTAGGCGAATGCCTTTTCATCTAACTCTGTCCACCTGTCAAGCCCCAACAGACAATCAACGGACATACAAAGTTGCCGCCTTTGGCGTGGCACCCCTGAAACCTTTGCGCAGGACGGCATGTCCTGGGCATGCTGCCCACGGCAGGGTGAGGGAGAGGACCTTGCGCGCGACAAACAGCTTTATGCAGACATGTCTTCTACTAGGGGGTCCATTTCACAGCTACCGTTGATATTCGGATTCTCGACATTGATTCTATGCGCACGCTGTCCATATTTGCTTATACCAACTCATGAGTCCACTGAGTCATCATCCTGTCACTCCCCCTCACCTCAGGGATTCATGCCTCAGATTGAGGCGACGAGAGCTAGAAGGGGTGGACATCTGTCGAGTTGATGTGAAACATAATACTTCCAAAACGGACGCTATAACAGGTGTGACGAGCGGAAATTGAGAACAACTCCAGCTAGCTGGTGCTAGCTTTCGTGACATCTAGACAGGCCTATCACGTTGAAATCATTCAACCTTGCTTAAAGCCTTGCGTTGAGCAGCAGCAAGTTACATATCAGCAAAGGGAAAGGTAACGACGATCACACAGGAAAATGGAGAAAAAACGGGACCACCACCAGAGTGCATATATTCTTTGTTTCTGCATTGAGGGAATCTGCCTGAATGTTCTGTGTCTATGTGCGCGAAAACCTTTCCACGGTTGTTTGCCTTCATGCCATATGCCATGTGCATCTGAAAGCTGCCTCAATGTCATTTGCAATCACAAAAACAAAAACACAAACATCCTGAGAAAACCGCAAGAACTCGAGAAATCCCCCTCAAAAAACCTCGGAGAAAAAACATTCTTGGAGGTCTTGCCATGCCTCACCAGAGTGCTGGAGAATTGTTTTTGTTGTTTGGGTTCCTCTTTTCGTGGTTTTTGTCTGATCCTCATTAATCTGGGTTATCCTGCCTAAAAGCGTTCTCCTTCATTGGTTCCAGCCTTCTTGTCCCCAAATTGAAAAGCTTGGACATGGCTTAATTCTACTTTAATCTAAATTGAATTCTAATTTAGTTCCAACTCAACTTAAACCATTGAAACGTCACAAATGTCACTTTATCTAACTCTTATTCTAGTCTACTTCTAATTCAATTCAAGCCTCATTGCTGTAGAACTCAAGCTCAAATCATTCAATTCAAATTTATTGTTTTATAATTTATCCATTTAAAAGACAAGCAAGTTCGGATTTAATCTCAATGTTATTCTCAATTGAGTTCCAACTTGTTTCCAAATTGAATCTAGTTGAGGTCTATATTGTTTCTAACTTAGGTCTACTTGAATGTAAAACTAGTTGTAAATGTACATTGACATTAAGACTAATCCTAGTTAAACGTTATTTAGAATCCAAATCTAATCGAATTCGAAGCTAAATAGTTCTAATTCAATTCTCAGTTCAGTCAAAATTGACTTTGATCCATTTCTAACTCGTTGTAATTCATTTTTTGTAAGTTGAATTTAGCTGGAGTTAAAGTTTGAACGAGTTCTTTTACAGCTCCGGTTGACTTCTATATTGAATCCAATTTAGTTCTGTCTAGTTCAAAATGAATTCTAACTCAATTGTAAGTTAACTTTGACTCAGTGTAATTCAGTTCTAATCGAATAGAATTCACAAAGCAGCTCCAACTTAATTCTAGAGAGGAGGCGCTGCTATTGAATTGAAAGCTTTAATATAGAGCTTCTGGGAAATACATTGTTGAATGAAAATACAAAAGAAAAGCTAAGTTAGAAGCAAATGAAAAGCAAAGCAAGAATAGATCAGAATCAACAGTGAATTAAGATAGATTTAAAGTAGACCTATCAAATAACTAAATTCATTCCAAAAAAGTTGGAAATAGCGACCAGCAAGTCAGGTTCAAAGTGGAATGGTGAAACAAGTAAATGTGATCAGTGATTAGTAAAATTACGAAGCAAAAATGTAAGTTACAATGGAAGTTGAGTTGTAGAAGAACTAAATTGAGTTTAAATTACAAATTACAAGTAAGCTTGAATAAAGATAGATCTAAACGAAAAAAACATTAAATAAATCCAATAAATACAAATACTCCATGAGTTGCCCCTGAGTCAAAACCAAAAACAAAATCTCTACAGTCCAGTCACTGAAGAGTTCAAGCCTTGAGCAACATTGTTGAAATGGCTACAATTGAAGCGCAGGAATGCCAGATCGGAGAGAAGATTGAACGCGTCGAGCTTGAGGGCCTTCTGCGCACTCGGGAGGTAGGCCTTGAAGGCCGCCGAATGGTGCTCCATAGGCACAGCGCTGCTCTGCAATTGGGATGCCTGCCACATGCAAAGCCCGAGCGCAGCGCCCTTTGGTTCGGGTCTTCTTTCGTAGGCGCTGGTACTGCCTGGCCAACTTTGCATTCCAGACTCTCTTTTGACCCTTGACATGCATGGCTGTGAAGAACTTGATGCGCAGGAATCCCTTTAGAGGGTCTTGTGGATGGCGGCCGGTCGTACCAAGTGGACATTCTTCGGGTCTCGTTCTTAAAGCTTTCTTATCCGTGCCAGAACTGGGCTGGGGGGTCTGCCCCGCACACGTGTTTCCACCAGTCCTTATGCTCGCGGACAGCTGAAGATGCAAGGAACACTCGAAGCTTGGTCAAGGGCGCTTCATCGCACCTGGCCTTGAAGTCGCAGCCTGCTGCCAATGCAATGCGTATTCCTGCTCGTGCCGGCGGACCACTTCCACTCGAATCTCCACACACCTTGGCACTATAGCGTCTTCAAGTTGCTGACCAAGAAAGCTTAAGGTCTTCAAGCTCAAGGTTGGACTCCACAGAGGTCCACGTGACCCGTATATTCTGGCATGCTACCTGACCTGGCATATACTCTGGCATTCTATCTGGCATAGGCTCTGCAATTCTAACTGGCATACATCCTGACATTCCATCTGGCAAACTAATTGGATGTTTTTATGACCTTGTTTCTGGCATGCATTCCATATGTTATGGCATTCTATCTGGCATATGTTCTGTCATTCTATAAGGCATACATTCTCGCATTCTATCTGGCATATGTTCTGGCATTCTATCTGGCACATATTCTGACATTCTATCTGGCATACATTCTGGCATTCTACCCGGCTTATGTTCTGACATTCTTTCTGACATATCTTCTGCGAATGTGGGCACTGCCGCAATTGGAAGCTTGCGGTTGGGGTCCGGCAGTGCCCACTGCATTCCGGGAGCTTGCAGTTGAGGGTCCGGGAGCACGAGGAGGAGGACGAGAAGAGGAGAAAGGAGGAGCGGCGGATAGCAGCGGAGAGCTCTTGTAAAGGCATATAAAAATCTAAGGAGCATCGTCCAACTGTGTCGGTCCGAGACTGGGGAAGTGCAGGTTTGGGTTTGGTACATCTCTCAGGACCCTCCTGTGAGGTGTTTCTTTGTGTTTCCCAGATCCTCACCCCTAGTGAGGGGTGACCTGGGAAAACCACAAAGGCAAAAAAAAAACATGCATCTATGTGTCATTTATCTGAATCTGTGTTTTAATGTTTTTTATAGATTTAAAATTGTGCCCTTGTCCACCCATGTCCATCCGTCCAAACCCTCAACTACGCGGAGCATCCTGCATGTGGCTGTGCGTCAAATGTCCATTCACCCCCAAACTCAGCTAGCAATCGAAATCCCCGAGTGGACCCCTTTGGTCTATCACTTGCTCCATGACGACTGATGTCGGGCAACCCTTCAGTTACAATCGCCAGGACCATCCGATCGGTGTTGGACTCCTCTACACTGCTCATAGGGATCTCGAACACCCAAACGGGATGGTCCCAGTTCTTACCCAAACAATCCATGGGACTGGAATACTCACCTCAACGTAGGTAAATATTCCATACCTGGGGCCCTCCACCAGGTTTTCTGTTGACAACAGGTGCTCAGAAACCACCTGTTAGGGTCTCCAGACCTGCCTATTGGACTGGGAGATGAGTCCATGGTGAGAGGTGGTCCAAATCGGTCTATGTTCATGATAGGGGTCCCCAAAGGGCGCTAAAAACGATGTCCAATACCTTTGGTAGGTTGGAGTCTAGATGCAACCGAACTCACGACCCCGTGCGCCACGGTCTGAAGGTCTGAATGTTCGTTTGAAGAACCGGTCGCAGTCGGTATATCCCCAATTACAAACAGTGGATGATGACATACCACCTGTAATGCGGAGTAATATCCACTGAACATCATTCATCATTCAGCTTGCCTAGGCCTTTCCATCTCTAAAACCAAGTGCTGTTCATGTTGACCAACTGTTACAGGTAAAGGACAAACCGCCAGACCTAGGTCTAGCAGTCTAGCGCTAGCAGTCGGCCGCTCGGCTCGCCACACCAAAGCTGCAGAGCTCACGACTTCTTGTGGTCCAAAGCTATTGGGTGTTGTATCCCTCACGGTGAGGATGGTTTGCCATGTCCTACCACGTGTCTTCGAGGCGCCCACAAAAAACCTCGTGTCTTTGCGACCGAGCTGCTACTGTCGCTCTGCCCGCTCACCAGTCGACGAGGGGAACGTGCGCGCTCCTTCGATCCCAAGCGATTTCCCTCACCTTTCACCCCCCCAAACCACTCCGCCCCATCGCCTGAAGGTCACGGAAGATCCATCCTCCGTCATCCTGCCCGCTGGGGAGGAGCGGCCCGAGGAGGCGACCGACGGATCCCAAACGACCCAACCCAGTCCGTCTGACCCAGTAAAACCGGGTCGAAATGAACCTCCTTGAGTGATGGGTTTGGGATGGTTTTGGTATGACCATCTCCAGTAAAAGGAGATCTTGGACTTCTAGGGCAACGAGGTCGAAATGAACCCTTCTCGAGAATGCCGTACTGTTCCGAAAAGAAGGCGCAGCCGCCTTTGCGGGTGATCAAGCCGTTGTTTATTTGGGGTGCCCAACGCAAACACAATCCTTCTGCCGCCCTGGTTTTCGGGTCATGAGCAATTGGCTTTGTGCTGCTCTCACCCAAAGGGGCTGAAGCCCACACGCGACTGATTTCAATTGGACTCGTCCCAATTTTCAATTGAGTAGCAAGCCAGAAATGGAAGGGAGACGGGAGAAGAGGTGTGTGTCTTCTACTTGAGAGAGGAGGGGGTGAACGAAAGGTAGCAGGCAATCACAAGCAACCCTGGTAAAAGTCCATGACGGCGTGAACCGGCGGAGGGGGGATTTGATCCAGGGGGGGCCCGTAAGAGGGAAGAACACGCCCTATGTGTCGAAGGCTGTTTTTGCACTTTTCTTTATAAATTTTGGTTCTCCAAATTTATAAATATAAAAAAATAATTAAATATGTTTCATTTGCGGAGTCTCGTGGCAATTACATTTATAAATATTACAAATATTAATATCTAAAATCAAACATATCTATAAAACAATATTTATGAATTTCGGGCCTCCAAATTTATAAATTTTTGAAATATTTGGATAATATTCTTAAATTTAATTGCCACGGGATCCGGAAATACCAAAAATTTGTAATATTTGTAATATTTATAAATTTGGAGGCCTGAAATTTATAAATATATTATAAATACTATACATATTTGTAATATTTGTAATATTTGTAAAATTTATACATTTAATTGCCACGGGATCCCGGGAATGCCAAATACTTAAAATATCTATATATTCAATTGCCACGGAACCCCGGGAATGCCAAATATTTATAGAATGTAATTAATTTCCACGGGATCCCGGACATGCTAAATATGTATAATGTTTATAATATCTATAATATTTATCAATTTCTATTGCCACAGGATTCCGGCATTGCTAAATATTTATAAGTCTTATGTGACACAGGATGTCCGGAAAAAGCCTTTTTTGTTTACAAGGACAAACATATCTGTTTAATAGATCATGCAGGTTTTTGGGGGGGGGCGTTTAGTTTTTCTGCCCGATTGTTTTTGTTGAGCTGTCGTTCTACTTCAGGCAGACGTTTTTCCTGAGCGGATGTTATTCCCTGAGCAGGTGTTCTCCCCCTGAGCGGGCGTTCTTCCCCTAGCGGGCGTTCTTCCCCTGAGCGGGCGTTCCCCCTTGAGCGGGCGTTCTCCCTTGAGCGGGCGGTCTTCCCCTCAGCGGGCGTTCTCCCCTGAGCGGGCGTTCGCCCCTGAGCGGGCGTTCTCCCCTGCGCGGGCGGTTTTCCCCTAAGCGGTGTTCTTCCCCTGAGCGGGCGTTCTCCCCTGAGCGGGTGTTCTTCCCCTGAGCGGGCGTTCTCCCCTGCGCGGGCGGTTTTCCCCTAAGCGGGCGTTCTTCCCCTGAGCGGGCGTTCTCCCCTGAGCGGGCGTTCTTCCCCTGAGCGGGCATTCTCCCCTGAGCGGGCGGTTTTCTCCTGAGCGAGCGTTCTTCCCCTGAGCGGGTTTTCTCCCCTGAGCGGGCGTTCTTCCCCTAAGCGGGCGTTCCCCCCTGAGTGGGCGTTCTTCTCCTCAGCGGGCTTTCTCCCCCGGAGCGGGTGTTTTCCACCTGAGTGGGGGAGCGGGCTTTCTACGCGCAAGCAAGTATGTTGTTCCTCTCATTGGGTGAGCGGATCCCTTGAGCATACGTTTTCTGCCCTGAACATTTATTAGATTGGTCTCTTCCCCCCCAGTGGGTCGATTCCGAGCCGGATCCTACTACGATCATGGATTGAACTCCCGCCCAGCTGTTGGGTGAACGTGTCATTTTCCAAAATTATCTGGCCGATACACATCCAGACAGGCACGCTGCTTGATATCTGAGTTTCCGATGATCAGCCCCCTACTCAGGCTACAGTAGGATAAGACTTCTACAGACAAGACATCTAAAACTATCTGCAAGCTTTTGCGATTCCTGGGCTCCAATGTGGCTGCGAGGTTCACCACAAAAAGCATAGGGTTTGGGTCTTTGGACAGAGACAGCCGCCGAAAGTCAAGCTGATATTTCACAATGTGACTCTTCAGTAGGATAACCGTCATTTGATTTGTATACCAGGCAGATTTTTCGCCACCGCAGAAAATGCTTTTGAACAGCTCTGTTCGTCGTCGTACCAAAGAACCTGCTATACCGCGTCGCCATGCTGCTTCTCATCGGCAAGCGTGTCCTTTGGAGCTCGTCTACTGGGCAGACCTTGGCTTTGACGGTTTGCACCCAGAGGTGGGATGGCTTTTGCCAACTCGCTTCCAGCACCTCAGCCGAAGAAAGCATGTAGGAGCGCAAGAATAATCGCAACGTATCATAAAACTTAACAGTTTGAGCCTACCACTCTTTTTGATTGAGTGTTGCTCGTATCCCGTGCGTAACTTCAAGGGATAACTTAGTCGACTCGAAATGCTAAACTTGTGAGAGGTGAAACGAATTGAAATATCGCTACTAGGGTGGAGGCCATCGCTTCTAGGTTGGAGGCCATCGCTACTAGGGTGGAGGCCATCGCTAGCAACTGCGCAGATGTGGGAGAAGCGGGCGCTCTGAGAAATTTTTGACCTGCTCAGGTGAGGCCGAATGGAGACCAGAAAATGCATGGATGTCGCCAAAGAGTTTCTCAGCGACTTGCTTTGCAGGTGTCCAGTCTTGGCGGTCTAGGTCAGCTTCTCATTGAAGCGGTTCAATCAGCTTGGTAAATAAGTTTTGCAGATGTAATAAGCCTACAAGTTTGTTGTATCAAAACCTCCGACGAAGGTAGCGTCAATCCAGTGAAGACTAGAAGTATGTGAACATGAGAAAACCTCTCAGAACGAGGAGGTTATCGCAGTAAATGTGTTGGTGTGTTGTCGATGGCGTCTGTAGTTTGTAGTGGCACAAGCGCGCGTGCAGACACACAAGTGCACATACACAGAAACAAGAGAAATTATTCGTGTGATGCATAGGCTCTGGCCTGCTGCAAGAGTGCGCCTGCCTATTTCATAAACCCCGATCACTCACCACAAGCTTGACTACAATAGTTGAGGCTGCTGGGGATTCCTGCAGTCAGCGGCCAATGGAGTATGCCGTCACAAGAGCACAACGCATTTCCAGAAGTTGGGCAACCCGACGCTTTCATGGATGAAGTGCCTCCTTCCCAAGGATCTGTGCAACGGACAGCGGCTAAGTCTCAGCCTAGGAGACCAATCATCAAGGAAGAAGATGGCTCTGCTGGTGCCATTGTCGAAATGGACGTGGAAGTGGAGCAAGCAACGTTTGAGGTCTTAAAGCGTCGCAGGCATCAACCACACTGCTTCACGTCAGCGCAGGATTTCGACGAACACTTCTTACGCCTGCAGACTGCTCACAAATTATTTCAAGGGCGTGTCCGAGAGCCCATGGACAACTCACATACAATCATCGAGAAAGTGCGTTTCTGGCGGCAGCGTGTGGAAGCAGAACTGCCAGGAAAGTCAGACTATTTCATTCGTATTTGTGCGCGCGCCTTGGCCTTTGCTCGGGCTCGCCTGGCCGACATTTCGTTGCGGGAGCATGCCCTTGTTTATTGGGTCGCTGAAGGCCATCGGTCCCTGAGGTTTCATGCCGGCGACTGCTACATGCTCACACCATCTGGGGCCTTCCAGCAACACAGAGGTGTGCCACCAGATCATGACCGAGTGCAAACATTTCTGATGCACGTCGAAGGCATGTTCCGGAGACTTCCGTCGAAAACAGTGAGAAACCTGCAAGGAATCCTTACTGCCATTGAGGCTCTGTTTGCACAGACCACGGATGAGGCGGCCTTTCTGGAACAGTGTGCAGATGCATGCCTTAATTTCGAGGGTGAATCAGGTCCTGCTCGGCGGTTTGACAGGCAAAACGTGGGTGAAGGTGAGATGAGAGAGGACCCAGAACCACCTGTCCGTTGGAACGTTGGCACCGCAAAGAACATCATGGTAGTAAAGAAGCAGCTAGCAAAAGAAATGACAGAAGAAAAGCTGTTCCATTTCATGAGCGAATGGTGCGAAACCCCTCATGAGCCCCAAGCTTCATGCTGCTATGACAACTGCGCCATTCAATATGACGATGAGCTTCTACCCGCCCACCAAGTAGACAGGAGAACCCTTGAAAACTGCTACCTTCGCATTCCTCATTGCATCAAGGGTGCAGTGCCTCAAGCCATTGTTGACAGGCTGCACAAATTCTACGCGCAAACCTTTTGGGGAAATCTGCAAGTGTTTAAGTGCGGCCAAGCTGCGCATGCCATGTATGGGCACAATTTCGCCTTCTTCGATCCCAACATCTGGTACAACGAGGAAGAGATCAGAAAGCAGATTGAGCAATTGAACGGCTGCTGCATTCGGCTGCTGCATTCTGACCGGACAAGAAACCCCTGGCACAAATCGCAAGTTGAAAGAGGATCTCTTTAAGAAGTTTGCAAGCGGCGATGGAATAGCTGGCCGCAAGCCGTACGGGTTCAAAACCCGCATGATTCATTGTACAGGTTGGAAGCGCTTGGAAGCCAACCGAATGTTCACATTGAGTGGAGTAACCAAGCGGGATTTCAATTCCATCTTTCGAAGGGCCTTTGTGTGGCAGGTCAAGTCTCGGTTTGAAGACCCGCATGTAATTGAAAGTACATACCCAGATATTTCCGTCGATGGAATTTTCCCAAGGATCCAGACTTGGCACACTTCCTGGTGTCAGGGCCAGCTGTAGCTGCTGCACTGCAAATTCAACATGCATTCGAAGCAGAACATTCGAGGCAG